ATCAAGGTAAAAAATGCTTTATTTTAGATAGTCACTTATTTACTTAATTTCAGGCTGTCATGTGGTACACGCATAAATTCTCAGTGTCATAGAAAATTTGTTAGATTATAAATAATGTAATAATAAAATATAATAAATACTCCGTTTACAGAGAAAATACATAAAGAATGTGCGCTAAATTTTCGAACATTAGGTTGAAATATGTACAAGTAATTTTTTATTTATATATTTAATCATTTCTAAATAAAAGCGACAATCTTTACTTATGGTATTTAGCCACAGTGATTATGGTTAATTTCGTATAACTTTAGCTGCGGTATATACTTGTTATAACTTTTAGCATGCCAGTAACGAGTTTACTTTGATATCGTCTGTTATATAAGGATTTGAGGCTGAGATAGTGTTGCCCGACTTTGCTCATTAAAGTACTTGATAGAAAGTCCATGCGATAATGTGCCACTAGGGGAGAGATTTTGCATTAACCTTTAATCGTTTTCTAATAAATTTTTGATGCTTTTACGATACATATAGTTGAAGAAAAAATAATATTAGAATTTAGTTTTATTAGAATTTAATGAAAATACTAGCTTAGATATAATTCTTATGTTTGAATTATTGAAGATATGTGAAGGAGGATCTCCATCTTAATATTATTAAATATTTACATTATTTGCTATTACAATTTTTTAAAAAATTAAAGAATGGAAAATAAAATTTCAAAAACATAGCAGCGTTTAATTTTTTGTAAATTGATTTGTATATGTATCAAAATATTAGATAACGAAAATATGATGTATAATGAAAGACGGTTATATTCGTATAAAGTTTTATTACTTCTCTCCACGTATTATAGAATAACATAACGATCGGGAATCTCGATCGACTCACCAGCTGTGTGCCATGGGTGATGGTAGAATTTGACCTTAGCAGGCAATGCGATAGTGGCCGGAATAGAAAATTGCAAGCCCGGTCCCAGAATATGTACAAGAGTGCCGACGAAAGTGACTATCCAACCCCATCCTCCCTCAGGGTAGTAGTGTCGATACAGTAGTCGTTTTGCTTGCACCTGTGGGTTGCTTTCGGGTTGAAGAGTCGCGATGTTGCTTTTGTCTATGCCGTTAGTGGTTCCCACCGGACGATTTTTCTTCTTCAGAGACGAGTTGTTAACGGAAATCGCACAGTTTCGTTTGCCTGTCGTGTCCAGCAGTGGCCAGGATCGCGCGCGGGGGATCGACATCACAGGTGTGGTAACGATTTCTTTCATTGCTACGTGCCCGTATCGTTGCCGATTATACTGCTTGTGTACATGGTGTTCGTATACATTCCTGCCGTGCGCATCGATTCTGCGTGCAACCGTACACGTTTTGTCAGAAACATGCTGCCGATTGTTCTGACGGCAGCGTTTGTTCTTCTCATGAATTTCTTCCTCGCGATAACTGCACGCCAACGTTTGGCGTCGATTTGAAGACGTATGAGACGCTTCTGTTATACACTCAATACTGTTTCGCGTATTTTGGAGAATCGAGAGAAGCTAGTTTATTCTTTTTTTTTTTTAATGTCTTTTTTTATTATTTTAATATCTTACACAGCAATTGGTTCTGGTTCACAATTACTAAAAAGTTCTTAAATAATGAAAACTTAAATGAATATCGTATATATTATATGTGTTTAATAATTGATTATTAATCATAGTACTTAAATTATATTATTATTCTGTTAGCCAATTTTTGCTAATGATACATTGCTAAATCTACAATGTCAAACTACTATATCAAATTTGAGTTATTTTTAGGTTACTATTGCTTTTATTGTTAATTGAACTAAAACAAACTTAAACAATTTAACTCAAGAAAATGTATTAAATTTGACTCAAATTTAGTTTATTTGTTAAGTGCATGTATTAATACGACGTTGCTTACTTCAAAATTAATCATAGAAATAAAGTATTTTATATTTTGATTTTGTACATGGTACAAAATGTTATTTAATTAAAAAATTAAGTTATTATTGTTTTTTTTATACCTAACAATATAGGATATTTAGGCTATGACATGAATTACTTTGGTATAGAACTTCAAATGATGATAGAAACGTTTGAAATATCAATCATGTCGAGTTAATGTTTCAAACTGTATTCAATAATAGAACCTCCTTTCCTTTTCGCGTATTAATTCAGTATTGATACAAAATGAAGAGTAATGAAACGTATCGCCTTGCGGACAATGCCACTGTCAATTTCGGAAGTTCAGAAGTCAAGATTAATCGCGATTTTTGTTCGCGATATGTCTGGGTGCTGTGTAAAATATGACTGATGTGAGATATTTTCCCCATGGGTTATTACGATGAATTAATTTGACGTACTCGCCGAATCAGCTATTATAAATTACCGCGCGTTGCTCCTTTGTATTGTGGGATCTATCCATTGGCGGTTTCACTCCCGTTAATGCGCTTAGATGAGGCTGAGCTCTCTAACCGCTCGATTTTAATAAATTCTCAGCATGAGCTCCTCTCATTGTGCAGCACCGTAATTTATTATGTCTATAAATGCACCGCTCGATAACCTCCGCGCACACATTTTGCTGCCGTTCTCTAAAAGCCTCATTTACCGAACTAGTTAAACTTTTCGGCAAAAACAACGTCGTCTAATATGATTCGTTATGTGCGAGATCGCATCATTTTTTTAATTATCTGTTGGTCATTGTTAGTAGTTTAACTAATTGAATAAATTATTGTGAGTCAATTGGTGAAATTAAAAAGATGTGAGGAAATATGTTAAAAAATTAAAAGACAAGTAAGGAGATGCTGTACAATTTGATTCTTAATTAATTTTAATTTTTATCTGCACTTGTATTCGTATATTACAAGTATTTTTAAAGAAATAAGCAATAAATATCTCTCGCGTTGAATATTTTATATTTTCCCTCGATTTTTTATCATATGATACAGATATTTAAAGAGCAATAAGAAACAAACGCGGGCGGTGACGTAAAATAATAATTAAACATAGCTGATATGAAAATATTATAAAAATTATTGTTTGTAGTCATAAATCATAACTAGTTTAGAATTTCACGCGGCTGCAAGACTATTCGGAGGTAATTGTGCCGACATAATAGCTGCTCGAATGATAAATAAATATTGCATGTGCTGAATAACGCTCAACCGCGTTCAATTTCAAGTAAGCAAGGAATGCGCTATAAAATGATTACCGAAGTCAGTTAATGAGCTTGTCTCTCGTGACCGATTTACGACTTCGCGTGCTCGCGTAAATTCACAGTGAGAGCGAAGTTTCCCGCGCGAGTTTCTCGATTGGGTGAATCCAATGTGGTTACAAAGACGAGGAGAAAGAGTGAAGTATTTGCGGGAAAAGGTCACAAAATTTAACTCGTTTTTGCGAAATTTGAGCGCGGAAAACAATTTCAAGAGTCGATGCGCAATTGGATCACGTAGCCTTCCGATCGGGATAAAGTAACTGACTAAACTGCGTAAGATGACTGTTGTTAGATAAGTTAAAGTAAGAGGCCGGCGGATTTGTGGAACGTAGGGTTTCGCGCGGTATCGTCGACTGATGCCGCGCTCCGACGAGAGACGGGCTTTCGCTCTATTCCCTCTACCCCCTTCCATCTCCGTGGTCGTCTCTCGGGCACCACCACTACTTGGCGGAGATCACATCATCATTACCAATATCGTTATATCGCCTTGCAAGTCTCACTGTCCTCGCACCTGTATTTCTAGATCTGTTCCTTAAAAGAACAAGTGTGAGCATAGCGCATTCCCATTGATATATGTATAAGATTTGTATCATTGTAATATTTTCAGAAACGAACTAGTGTCTCATCGATACATTTTTATATCAAGAAAACATAAAAATATATTAAACTGTAATATATTTTTATGTTTTCTCTATCTTGTACCGATTCTAATCTATACATACGAGTATAAGGGTAAATAATTCGATAAAGTCAGAATTTTATTTTCTCTTCATATTACTTCTAGGGATTATCAATAAAATCGGAAATAAAAGTTAATTGCTAAATCTTACTTGAATAACGTTTCTCAGTAAGTATTACTATTATTTTTTTCTTTATTCTTCGTTTTTATCGCTGTGCAAAGTAGTACTCAGTTTATCATCGATTTTCGTAAATTTTGCGAGGTATGCAAAAAGAAATTGGCAGGTGCATCTAATTTCTCGCAGTTGATGAACATACAGATGATAATATTGTAATGAGAAACTGTTAATAAATATACGATTTCAAAGTATTTTTTTCAAATTCCTACCATTCTATAAAAGACGCGAGAACGAGAGACACGTGCTCATAATAGCGGTGTTGACTCGCAACTTCCGTTGTCGAGAAGCCAAGTTAATTTCTCGATGTTACGGGTATCCGGTAGATTACGAAAACAAAGTTTAAAATAAATAAATCGTAAATGTTATATAAAAATTGTAAGAAGTCTGTTGACACATTTAGATCGTATGTTTTTCAATTTCGTTTTAAATCAGATTAAGCTTTGTATTTACGGATTACATGTGACGATTTATAGCCCGATTTAAGATACAAATAACCATGATTAAAGATGACTTGGAATGAGCAGTGCAAGGGAGATTTAATCTTTTGGTATAGTATTTCAGATACAAAAGAAAACATGTAACACCGCTATATTATAATTTGTATTTATATATCTCGCTTTTATCAATAAATGCATTTATTTAATTTCGAGATTTTGCAGTGTGTGTGTGTGTGTGTGTGTGTGTGTGTGTGTGTGTGTGTGTGTGTGTGTGTGTGTGCGCTCATCATATCTAATCCTATTTTATAAAAAATT